GAACTTGTGTTTCTCCTGCCTCAGCCTCCAGATCCTTGGGATTCCAGGTGTGTGCACTGCACCGGGAAATCAGTCCTGCTCTTTCTGATTTAGTTCTAGCAAATGAATTCTCACCTGAGGCTTTAGAAATGTAGTATTCGATTAGCAGTTCAAGTAACAAAAAGAACTCTGGACAGCTAAGATGAATAAATTTTAGGGGTAAAATTAGAGAAAAAACCATTTACTTTATATAATGTAATCATGCTCTGTACTTAGTGATAATGATATTTTAAGTCTATTTTGTACAAGTTCATTTTGAGTTACCTGGATCTTGAAAATTCATTCATCTGTAAGTATCTCTATAGTTCTTTTATGCCAACTGATCATCATGGAAAAAGAATTCAAGTTAACTTTACTTTTTCAATTTGAATTTCTAATTCAAATTAATTATAATTTTAGAAGATAAAGATCTTTATCACCTGAAAGACCCTAAAATTTTTGTTCCTTTGTGTTATAAAAACAAATTAATCAGAGAATGTCTCAGTTGCCCTTCCTATAAAATGAGAATTGTCCATAAGTGAAATTGTCTAAAGATAAAATAATATTTCTAAGTGCCTGGGTACTTAGAAATGGGTGATAAATAATAGCCATTGTTATGTCCACACATGAAAACCAAGAGTGAAGCCAGGGATCTGGGGAGTGAGTGAGTGCCGAGCAGCATGAAGAGTAAGATGCCATGAGACCAGAGTTGTCAAAGCTAAGAGTAGAATTCTGCAAAGGCAAATGAGATAAGAACATGGCTAAGAAAAAAAGGGAAAGAAGTGTGACACTGAGGCCACCCTGGAAAGAATGGAGAACTACCAAGAGAATGAAAGGGCAGATAAGCTCTAAATCAGAACATGAAAACCAGAAGGAATTAATGCCATATTGAATATTCGTGTCCCTCCAGCTCTTTTTCCTGTTGTCAAGGAATTTTCTGTACTTTTTTCAAAACTCAATTTGAAAAGAGTGCTGGGTATGTTTAAAGATAGAGGGAAAATAACTAAAAAATAGATATTACCACTTCCTAGGAATCTCTTCCTGCAACTGTCAGGGTTATATCCTGGCCCTACCTATAGCTTTAAGAGCGCCAAATCCAGCTTTCCCCTAGTAAGGTTGCCAGGTATCATTGGAGGCTCCCCTCTACCACATGCTGTTTGGCTACCTGGCAAACCAGAGCAGCAACTGGAAAGCAGCCCCACCCAGACTGGGTAAAAGGATTTCATTTCTATAAAAGAACACTTACTAGTACCACACTCCAATGTGGCAACCTTATATTTTTGATGGAATGGATATGGGTGGAATACTTGGTATTCATAATTAAATTAATTATAATTTTAGAAGTTAAAGATTTTATCACCTGAAAGACCCTAAAATTTTTGTTCCTTTGTGTATAAAAACAAATTAATCAGAGAATGTCTCAGTTGCCCTTCCTATAAAATGAGAATCGTCCATAAGTGAAATTGTTTAAAGATAAACCAGATGTGTTTAGATGATGTATTTCAGTCATGACACTTAAGAGTCATCGTGCATCTTGTACCAATTTGAAATTACTATTTCTCTAGGGCCAAAAGTATTAAAAACATACCTTCTCACTTTCAGCAACAGCTTTCTGAGCCATATAGGACAAGTTACTTTTTCTGTCCAGATGTCTAAAAAATGCTAAAGTTCAAATCCATCCAGCTATAAAGTTCTAAGATGAGTACCTCAAGTTGAAGAAGGAAGTTTTTTAAATTTAAAGACATGATTGTACCAAGCCATATATCAGGGTGTTAAAATGACAGACCAGATGAATTATAATATGAAAAGTGCTTTAGCTACTTTCACTGAACTCTAATTTTAGGAAGAAAAATCAAATTTCAAATGAATGTGTAGCACTATACATCTATTCTTACTAATCCTGGCAATAATTTATATATTTGGTTGAAAAAGAAACTATTAATACATGTACACACACATAGTTTAAGAAACTATTTTCCTATTCTCACTTTTGAGACACATGGAGATTTCTGTGTGCAGAATTACCCATTGTCATTGGAATAGGGGAATACCTAGGAATTTGGGGTTGTTGTTGTTTTCTTTTTTTTTTTTTTTTGCCAGGGGCCGGGGTCTGGTTTTAAGTTTCAACTTATACACACTTAATAGTATTTTTCATTTCAAAAAATTAGAATGTACCAATAATTTTGACAAT